AATATTTCTTATAGCCTTAATAATAATAATAATAAAAGGCCTTATTAGAATTCACGGATTTCACAGATTTTCAGATGACAGTTGGCTCTATAAGAGACTGTCAGGATAATTATTGTATGCTTAAATGTAGGTGCACTCTATTGACCCCTCATCAAATCTGTCATAGCATCCTCAGTGCGTATATAATACGTAATAGTTAGATGGTCCTTTGTTTTACGTTGACAAGGGGGAAGCCAGGGCGGTTGGAGGATCCTTCGTGAGGGAAATGTTGTATGGCTCAGCTCAACAGATGGAGTTGATAGCCAATTTACTAGCCGGGGTCATAAGAGAGTAATCTCAGACCCTTGCCAGAATATGTGTGTTAGTTAGTAGCCATCAGAGGCAAAATGAGTGGTTTGGATTTAGGAGATAGTGTGTATGGTGCGGGTCTAAATGTTAAAATCTATACAATCAACACCGCCACCTACATTTTCGTAATGTCAGGGGGGGCGGGAGGGGGGGGGATATTCCTCGGCAGAAAGTACATGCGGTATTTAAAAATACTACACTATTCATCCCGAAACTCTGAAAGTCCTAAAATAGCACAGTTATATCTCGAATGCTGTAAAATACCAGACAATGTTTGCATGAATTACCGTCATGATGTTGTCAAGATGTATTTTCACAAATGATCTCGCTGGCTATTCCTAAACTCAGTAGTAGAGAAATTACAGTAATCTTTAGTCCACCGAATGGTAAGGCCACATGCTACATATAATTCGGTGGGCTACGCCAGTGGTTCTAAAATTTTCGTTTCCCTGCGCCTTTGCCACACTACGTTTTCACCAGGCTCCCTGTGTCGAATTCTAACATGTACAATTCGAAATGGCGAATACACAAATAAAATAAGGGTTGGATAAAAATAAATATAACGTGTATGTAGGTCACTGAGCGCCATCTGGAACTGCAAACACCAATTTCTTAGTGAGTTACTGTTACGACCGAAAGTTGTCCCATTGGTTTAAAAGTGAAAATAAAATAATG